GTCATAGATTAGTATAATACCAGTGTATTTCCATATAACCTTAATAATTTGGCATATCAAATAGTATGAAATATCTTTATAGATATCTTATAACTTATCTGATTTGTATAATATTCTTCCCGGCCAGTAGGTGATGAACACCGGGCCAGAAAGACTTGGCTCATGGGCAAGTAGTGAAGTTAGATCTAAGTTTTCTGAATTTATAATGTGTATCAACGTAGACTTAAATTAGGTTAACTTATTGTATTTTTTATTATATCTGTATGTATGCCTACTCTGTGAACGTGAAAATAGATTTTATACATATATTATTGTAATTAATTAAAGAATGATGACAACAGTGAAGAAGTACTCTGAAAACAGCTGATCATCCCTCACTGCTTGTTGGTTATAATTCGAAAAAAAAAATATATTATACTGTTATTTTTATTTTAAAAAGCTAAACCATTTCTACAAAGAATTTCTAGTATTAAATAATTACCTATATGATTACATATTATTATTATATACACTTATATTATATTTTTAATGCCTAAAACATCCAATTGATTTTTTTTTTTATTATAATAGTAATTTTTGGTTTTTTTTTTTTTGGGATGTTTTCAGGTATGCAAATAAAACATCGGCTATAGTTACAAAATGTATATTTGCCAGTTGTCTAAAATATTAATACCACCTTATATCTAATATGTAGGTACATAACTATACACCTATTAAAATATTATATTGATATAAGAATAGTAAAACTTCTGTTAACCTCTCAATACTTTTAAATAGCTGCTGTCATAATTTCTCTCATCCCTTTGGTGACCATTTAAATACATTTCTTTGTATACTGCACTAGTCATGATTAAATATAAATAATTTCTAAAACTTTTGTTTCTATATGTTTATCCATCCGATCAACTTCATTTTCATTTAAAATAGTATAGTCAACTTTTAATAACTTTAGCATGATCTTTAGTTTGGAATCTATTTCCCCTTTCACAGCCATCGGTGTTTTGAGGAGGTCCATCATATTATGTTATCATTTGATTTATTTTGTAATATTTGATGGAATACTTAATATTATTATTATTAGGCACACTTCTTATAATTTAACAATTATTATGTATAACATTTGTATTAATATGAATTTATACTATGTAGGTTGGTATCTACTGACAATTGTTACAGTAATACAATAATATATTACCCAAATCATCTCATTGTATAACGTTTATAGCTCATAATTTGCTAGTTAGTACCTATCACTTAGATTCTAATAAAAATATGAAGCTCAATAAATACTTATAAAGATTCATAATGTTAATTTATTTTTAAGATTAGTTTGTATTCTAAATAGTTTGATTATGGTAATAATTTAAACTTTTTAGTTTGAATAATAATAACAAATATTGATACAAATTGTAAATTTAACATTTAAATATTA